TTTCTATGATCTTCTGTTGAGTTCGTAGGTGTTCTGAATGGTTTGATAACTATCTACCTGAATTCCTGGGACCAGACGAAATTTAGGTCTCCTCCTCCTCCGTCATCTTGCTCCTCCCCTCACTGTATCACCCTTTGAAACATGCAAGGCATCTATCACTACTTTCCAGAGAAAGCTGATCACTACACTTTTTATATTATTAGTTTTTTCTCATGAACTCAGAAATTTAGCTGCTTTTCCACAGCTTTATAACTTAGAACAGATTTTACTTTAGCATTTTTCTGGGCAGCTTCATGCATAGACAGTGAATTTTATCTTTTTTTCTGGATGTACTATATTGGTGATTTATTAACATTAATCTCATGGCCAATAGCATTAGAACTAATGTCTGAATGAAGCTTATTGATGCACATATTTTCTCTGTAATATTTCTTCTTGTGCTTGGGAACATTTGACAGCACTTCATCACAACATTTGGAGGGCGTTTAAAAGAACACAATCACGAACAAAAAGCATAAAGATACAAAAAAATTGGAGCATTAAATAAACCACAAAAAGGACACTTGTTAATAGTGTAAGAGCTGAAACAAGAAGGGAAAGCATCATCTTGTCTAATCTCCGCTGGAATATGTGCTCTGATGACTCAAAGTTTACACCTCTCTGCATATTCCTGTTAATGACCATGAAAGTCCTGCAAATGTTGATTTTGGTGTTATGAATGAATTTTACAAGTAGACAAATTAGCATATGTGGAATCTGTGAATAATAAACATTGATTATATGGTCAAGTAGGTAAAAGTGGTCTACTAAGCAGGAAAATAATTATTACTAAAATTTCAAATTATATCTAAATAGAACTGAGTGATCTACACAGATAGATTATAATGGAATAGAGGAAGATATGCTATGCTAACATACTGAAAAAAAAAAAGCTGGAGTAGCTATATTAATTTTAATACAAAAAACTTCAGAAGAAGGAAAATTATCAGGGACGAAAAGAACCATTACATAATGATAAAGGGGCCACTTCTCCAAGATGATATTATAAATCTTGATATGTGTGAGCCCAATAAAAGAGCATCAAAATACATGAGTTAAAAACTGATAGAACTGCTAGAAGAAACAGATGAATCCACTATTTTATCAGGAATTTAGTACCTCTTTATCATAAATGGACAGATCCAGCAGGCAGAAAACTTATAAGCACAGGTTTGAAGTCAGTAACGTCATCAATCAACTTGATATAATTGATATCTATAGAATACTTCATCCAACAACAACAGGTTGTTGTTGTTCTCAAGCTCACATGTAATACTAAGATAGACTACATAAAATATACCTTAACCAGTGTAAAATAATAGAAACCATACAAAATAAGCTCTCAGACCACAGTGGCATTAAACCAGAAATCAATAACAGAAAGATAGATGGAAAACCTAAAATTCTTGGAGATTAAACAACACACTTGCAAATAACACAAAAAAGGCTCAAGAAAATTTAAAAAATTCAAACTAAATGAAAATGAAAATATAAACTATTAAATTTGTGAGATGCAGCAAATGAAATGCTTAGAGGAAAATTTATGGCCTTGAATAAATATGTGGGAAATAAATACCTAAAATCACTAATATAAACTTCCACCTTAGGAAACTGAATAAAAGAATGAATTAAGTCTAAAGTAAGCCAAAGCAAATAAACAATGAAAATTAGAGTAGAAATAAATTCAATTGAAAACAGGAAATTTATAGAGAAAATCAATTAACCTGAAAGGTCATTCTTTGAAAAAATCAATAAAATTGATAATCCCCTAGCCAGGTTAACTAAAAAAAAAAAAGAGAAAAGATACAGTTACTCATATCAGAAATGAAAGAGGGTACATTACTACAGATACTATGGATATGAAAAGGATAAGAAAGGAATACTAAGAACAACTCTGTGCCCATAAATTTGATACTGTAGATGAAATGGATCAATTTCTTCAAAGACACAATTTACCCAAACTTACACAAAGAGAAATAGACAGTATGAATAGGCCTATATCTATTAAAGAAGTTAAACACATATTAAATAACTTGTCAAGACAGAAAGCACCTGGCCCTGATGGGTTCACTGGTGAACTCTACCAAACTTTTGAAGAATAAAATTACATGATTTTTTTGTTTGTTTACAGTCTTTTCCGGAAGATATAAGCAGAGACAATACTTCCTAAATCATCCTATGAGGTCAGCATTACCCTACTACCAAAACCAGAGAAAGCATTACAAGAAAGGAAAACTACAGACCAATATCTGTCATGAACACAGATGTAAAAATTCTTCAAAAATATTGGCAAAGTGAATTCAATACTGTATAAAAAGAATTGTGCATTATGACCAAGTGGTGTTTCTTTCAGGTATGCAAGTTTTATCTCAACATTTGAAAATCAATTAACATAATTTATTACATCAATAGAAAAAGAATAGAAACTGTTGACTGTATCAACAGATGAAAAAAAAGCATTTGACAAAATCTAACACCTGTTTAAGATGAAAACTCTCAGCAAAACCTATAGGGAACATATACTTAATAGGGACAAAGATAAGGAACAAAGCAAGGACGTCCACTCTAAATAGCACTGACTATTTCAAAAAAGATTTTGACTTGATGTTGCTTTGTCAAGAATTAGGCATGTAGGTTAAAAATAATTCCAGTTGTCTAGCATCTCACAGGGATGATTTGGGAAATACATATGTTAATTGAGACAAAATAAACACAGTTATTCTAAGACTGCACAGACTGGGAAAGTAGCTTCTAATGGTAAGGATAGTGGACTGCACTATTAAGGAATATTAGCTGAGAGTTATTCCTTTTTAGTGTGATTGGTGAATTTTTATATAATTTAAGACAATTTTTGTTAAAACTACTCATTTTCGTTTGCTTTAGAGTATTTTTTCGCTTTCTGATTTTTCTAAGTAAAACACAGTAGCCAAGTCAAAAATCAACAAGTGGAACTACATCATCAAACTAGAAAGCTTCTGAAGAGCAAAAGAAACAACAGAATGAAAAAGCAATCTACAGAAAGGGAGAAAATATTTGCAAACCATATACCTGATAAAGGATTAATATCTAAAATACATAAGAATCTCATATAACTCAATAGCAAAAACCAAATAATCTAATTAAAAATGGGCAAAGAACCTGAATAGACATTTTTCTAAAGAAGACATACAAATGGTCCATAAGTACATGAAAAGCTGCTCAATATCACTGATCATCAGGGAAATGCAAATCAAAACTATAATGAAATATCACTTCACACCTGTTAGAATGACTATTATCAAAAAGACAAGAAGAAATGTGGAGAAAAGGGAATTCCCATTGGTAGGAATGTAAATTGGTACAGCCACAATGGAAAACAGTTTGGAAGTTCCTCAAAAAATTAAAAACAGAATGATACAGCAATCCTACTTCTGGGTGTTTATCTAAAGTAAATTAAATCATTATCTCATAAAGATATCTGCATCTCCATATTCACTGTAGAGCAAACCACTGAAGTTCCATCAACAGATGAAAAGATAAAATGTGATTCTCTCTGTCTCTCCTTTGCCAGGGTCATCAGGTTGAATAGACTTTAAAGCATTTTGAGATGTGTTCTTGCTGTGGCATGCTGGAGTGGACAGTATGCGATCAAACCCTAAACTTCCTGGAATTCTTCAGTCTAAAACACTGACAAGCAAAAAATTACAATGGTCAAATTGAACCTACATTCTGACCCTAAAGTTGCTATGACAGGAGAATTGAAACTGGAGCAAAGAAAAATTTTTTCAGTGAATAGATTGATGTATAGTTTTAAAGCAAAAATTACTCTCCTGAAGACAAACTTAATCCATAACTTTTTGTTAACTTGTCTCTATTTTTCTAGTGATGACTGATATTTTAAAAGGCATGAAAGCATTGCAAACTCCTCAAGTCAGCTTTAGAGAGCATATTTAAAGTCCTTTATTGTTTTCCTGTGAGATTCTGCTGGTGAATAAAACACAAAAATGAGCATGCATGCATGTGTTCATGCTCACGTACGCATACACATGCACACACACACAGAGCATAGTTATAATAAAGGCGACTTTGTCTTTAAAGTTAAGAGCTTGTTTCTTATGAAAGGCTTTGCATGTTTTATGCAAAATTTCAATGTTTATCTTCATGCTCATCAGAAGTCTTAAAACAGGTTTTAGTTAAGGAAAATATATGGATGTTTACCAGCTCCATTTCATTTCTTAAAGATTAAATCTTTTTTTTTAAAAGAACTCAGCAGTTTTCCTCCCTTATCTCTACAGTTCTTTACTAAACTCTAGTTTCATTCATTGAACATCCATTTATTAAGCACCTGCACGCCACACACCACACTCTGGGAGCTCTCTGAAGTCCGAGGTGACACAAAGGACAAGTACAATGAAAATGAGATCAGTGACACAAGAGTGCAGAAGAGGGTGCCCTGGGGGTTGGCATGGCTGGTTGAGTTTGGAGTGCCCAAAGTATGAGTCAAAGAGGAAGAATTATTTGAAGAGAATCTTGAAAAGAATTTGGATGCAAAATAACAGAAGAAAATAGCATTCCAGGCAGGGGATTATTGGACTAGTTTATAGAGATGTGGAAGAGCAGATCCAATTTGGGGAATAGCAGGAAGTTTGATTTGGCTGGAAATGGAAGAAGCAAAAAAAAAAAAAAAAAAAGTGTAGTAAACAAACAAGGTCATTTCATTTAATCTAATTAGTGTTGAGACATTTAAGGATTTAAGGCAAAAACATGTCAAGATCAGAGTTGCAATTGAGAGAGCAAATTGGCTTACCATTATTGTCCTTTTCTATTATTTTTCTTCTTATTCTATTTCTTTGCCCAGCTTTTTGTTTTAATCTGTGTTTGCCTTCTGTTAGACATCAGCTATTTACAGCCATATTACAATCTTAAGACAAGGTAAAGTGAAAAAAATTACAACAAAAGATAATGGAAATAATCAGGCTTACCAAATCCTTGGAGTGCTCCCCCTAGCATTTGGGCATCCATTATGGGATTGAAATTGGGAGCTGGGAAAATGGTTCCTTGCACCTGGTGGGAATAGTCAATGAGAAAGAGATTGTAGTATTTTATAAGAAAGATTTCAACATTTTTTTGCAGATAAATGAAAACAAAAACATTCTATGTGTTTAAATTACTCTAAGACACACATACAAATTTATTAAACAAATGTGTTAATTGTATGGAGCAAATTTGGTTGAATTTCTTTTAATCCAGTGGCCTCTATTATATTGGCTCTCTTATTCATCTAGGAATTTGAGATACTAGAACCAATAGTGGAAAATGTGAGAGTCAAATAAATATAAATCTTGGTAATAAACTGTAAACGTTTTCTTAGGAATTTGTGGCTATTTAAAGAAACTGAAAGGAGAATTCTATTGGGGGAATTCATGACATTTCATATCGATTAGAAGTGGCACTTGCCACCATAGATTTTTCACACACCAGGGGCCCTAAAATCATACTAAAAAAAATTGAAATATTTGAATTTGGGTTGTGAGAGTCATAAAAATCTAGGTGATATAGATAGGGCAGAGATTTTTTTAGCTGAACCTTGCAGCTGCAGAGGAAAACATAAAAACCTGACTGACATTCAATTTAAACTTTCTTGCTAATAATAAAATAGCAGAACATTTATGTTAGACTTTGAATTCACGTGATCTATTATTTCAGACAGAGCCAGCCAGGACAAGGTACCATATCATCATACTCACCACAAGAGAACTATCAATCAAAATTTATTAAGAATGGTCCCTCTCCCCTGTTTGTTGTCAGTGTGCCCAGAAACATTGGGAAAAAATGCCTTCCCATAGCAAATGGGTCTACTAGGCCTTGAGAACTCAGGCATTCACCAAGTTCTTCTACAAGAATAGTATCTTAGCGGAAGATGAGTTTTCTAGTGCCCATTTTCTTACAGTAGAAAATTAATTAATGAGAAGAAGATGGCACCATAATGTCTAGTCCAAGAAATATATGTATACTAACACCAAAATATTTGTGAAAAGATTTTGAGGGACTAAGGACATTGTTCACTTGAGTTAAAACTAAAAAAAAAAATTCAGTTTGGATTTCATTTGATTAATATTAATGATGATGAAGTTGTCTATTTGAAGTAGACTGGAAACCATATAATAATTGTGATATATCCATATTTTCTTAAGTTCAGCCATGTTAATGAAACATACGTTTTAAATGCCTGTATGGATAGATATATGTAATTAAAATAAGTATGGTCTGCATCTTACATTGCTAAAGTGCATGCAGTTTGCTTTGGATATTCAAGTTTATTGGAGATGATCTAGAGACTAAGTTCTCTTGAGCCAGTCCTCACTTCTGCGAGCTATATATTAGACAATATGAGTGTTATCTCCTTTATCCACTAACCTTTCCCACTGGGACTCTATTAAGACCATTTGAATATATTTACTATTTAAATATAATAGTAAACCATTATTTTTATGCCAATTATTATGTTTCATTTAAGCTCAGGTCAGCAACATTATTCCATATAAGGTACATACTTAATGTTCTTTTTACTTATTTTGTCATTGGAACACTGATTTTGTCTTTTAATGACAATATTTTTCTAGCTTTATTAAGAGGTCATTGATATATAACATTGTGTAAATTTAATTTGTATAACATGATTTAATATATATATATTATGAAATGATTACCACAATAAGGTTGATTAACATATTTATCACCTCACAGTTGCCCTTTTTTTTTTCTGATGAGAACATTTAAGAGCTTCTCTTAGAAACTTTCAAGTATACAGTATAGTATTGTTAACTAAAATCACCATGCTGTACATTAGATCCTCAAACTTATTTTCCTTATAACTGTAAGTTTGTACTCTGTGACCAGCATCTCCCAATCCCCCCTCCCCTCCCCCCACACTCCAGCCAGTCCCTGGCAATCACCAATCTTTTAATGATCATTTTGACTAAACTGACCAGTTAAGTCTATTGAAACAGTCAATTATCAGTTTTAATTTTGTTCCCTGAATTAAGCAGTTATTTGAAAAAAGATTGTTTTGGGCCATAAAACTTTTTCAAATGACTACGATATACCTATAGATATATATTCATCTATTTTAAGGTAATTTGTTCTTTCCTTTGGATATTTTTTTTCCAAAATTTGTGCTCAACCATAGTCTATGCATTCCTTAATATCCAACATCAGTCTCTGATGAAATGAATCTCTTCTGACCACTTCTTTTACTAACTCCCTAGAACTTACTGCATTTGTATTTAAAATCAGTACCTTATGTTTTCCCATATGCTACCTATTCTTTTTTTTTAAAAGATTTTATTTATTTATTTGAGAGAGACAGAATGAGAGATAGAGAGCACGAGAGGGAAGAGGGTCAGAGGGAGAAGCAGACTCCCTGCTGAGCAGGGAGCCCGATGCGGCACTCGATCCTGAGCCAAAGGCAGTTGCTTAACCAACTGAGCCACCCAGGCGCCCGTTATCTATTCTTAAAACTGGGAATTTCACTATGAAATACATAGTACCTGTTATTTTATAACATAGTGCTGTACCAAGTAGTTATTCTTTGGCTACATTTCTTGTCCCTCTAATTATATTTTATGTCCCTTGATTACAGTATATCAAATCTATATCATGATTTTCTATGTAGGGAGACTTCTTTTTAAAATGTTTTCATCTAGGGGCGCCTGCGTGGCTCAGTCGTTGTCTGCCTTCAGCTCAGGTCATGATCCCAGGGTCCTGGGATTGAGCCCCACATCAGGCTCCCTGCTCTGCGGGAAGCCTGCTTCTCCCTCTCCCACTCCCCCTGCTTGTGTTCCCTCTCTCGCTGTGTCTCTCTCTGTCAAATAAATAAAATCTTAAAAAAAAATTTTCATCTACTAGTGATGTCACTTAAGTTAGATGATTTCTTAAAAAAATGAGATTTTTGGCTGAATGACCTGGCTTTATACGCAATAAATATGATAAACTTTTTTTTTATTTACAAATACAGGATATGCATGAATTAAGCAGATTCTTTTCATTATATTTGTCATATTTGTTGGTTTGTATTAGGAAAACTGAACAGAGACAAATAAATGAGACAGACAAACAAAAATTACCCTGGAGAAGAGGGTGCAGGAGAGAGAGATGTTCCTGGTTTGATAGGGCACAATTTTTTCCAGCCATATGTATGAACAAGTAAGTGATCTGGGAAATGGGAGCACAGTGTCTCAAGACTCTCTTGTGAGAGTAAAATAATCTGATTTGAGTTCTAGTAGTAACACTCTATAGCAATGTGAAGGATGAAACAAAAAGAAGTTATACAGGTTGCAGAGGTAGCTAATTTGGAAACCCGGTTGAAATTCAGTGCACCCCTGAACTGAGACAAATAGCATGTTCTTAATAAATATAGATTGCTTAATTAACTGAATGTAATTTAATTTACTAATTTTTAAGATTTATTTTAACTTAACACAGTAACAGTAATTAAATCTTTTGAAAGAGTCAGAGACTTTTGTTTCAGGTGTTTTTGAGCAATTTGCCTTTTAAAGCAATGTTATTTTTTATATACATGTTTCTAATTTTTCACATCTTAGAGCAAATTGGAAATTTTGAAAAATTGGACACTTTCTGGTGTGACATGAAAAATAATGTGCATATGGTAAAATTATTTTATTTTTCTTGCTCTGAAAATTGACAGATTTAGAAATAGTATCACTTGTCTAAGGCAAAATAAATTCTAATGCCTGTCATTTCAATTTAAATTCTTACCACAAGGTAATCAAAATATAATCTTTGCTTCTAGTCATTTGTGAATTTAGGTTTTGACAGAGGAATACAAAATACTCCCTTTTTGAAGGACAGAATAAACTGCTTCATAAACTCACTAAGCAGAAGAGTATGAGTAATTTGTAGATTTAAAGTTGGTTCTAGAATCTACCCTGAATAAATAATGAATAGATTTCTTTAAAATTATTATCTGGAACTGAATACAAACTGAAAAAAAATTCACATATATTTTGCTCATGAAGTTGATAAAATTATTTGCATCATCTCATATCAATAGGTACATCAAAAAGTAGATCATATTTCATTTATTCACAGCTAATCCAGGAGCTAGAGTCCATAAAACCATATCCCTCCAAAGTCAACACTGATAAGCTACCCACATTTTAATCCTTTTTCTCATGTGGCTTTTGAGTTACACTCATATTGAGAATCTGAATGCCTCAAGACTTTTGACTTTGAACTATTAGCCATGCAGGTTGACAGTTTTACTGACTGGATGCTTGTTAGAGTACAGGTTTTTTTCTTTTTTCTTTTTTTTAAGATTTTATTTATTTATTTGTCAGAGAGAGAGTACAAGCAGGGGGAGCAGCAGGGAGAGGGAGAAGCAGGCTCCTCACTGAGGAGGGAGCCCTATGGGGACTGGATACCAGGATCCTGGGATCATGACCTGAGCCGAAGCAGATGCTTCACAGACTGAGCCACCCAAGTGTCCCAGAGTACAGGTTTCAATGAATAATTCAGCATCATTGAAATACCTTGGTTTTGGTATTGTTGAGATGACTAGATCTCCAGTGATATTTAGGATTTTTGGAGCCGTGAAAGAAAATCTACAGGAATCTTAGGACTCCCTTTCTATAGAGCACTTCCTTGAACCAGACATTTATTCACCTTTGGGGCATTGGTCCTTGGATCTCCATTGGCTCATTCCCAAATGCCTTAAACTCTCCTGAAGGTCTTCAGCCACCTAATCTCTGACTCATATCTGACAAGAGTTGTGCTGATGGGGTTTCAGTGGCTTTAAACACAACACCGAAAGATGGGTTAACAAACATATTGTTCCTCTCTCTTACCCTTCCACAACCAATCTGCCCTTCAGTCCAATCCTGTCAGCCCTATCCTCACAAAAGCTTTCATGTATTTCCCTTTCTTAAAATTTCTGTTCCTACTACCTTAGTCTTTACCACTTTTCTTTTGGGTTTATTTCAATATGCTGCTAAGTAGGTCCAGTTTCCTTTTACTGCTAGAATGATCCTTCTAAAAGA